AGGGCCAATACAAAAAGAGAAGAAAACAAAAGGCATTTAGATCGGCAAAGATTCTTAAACTATTTCTAGATCCAGATGATATGATAATGTAGACAGAAAACCCCAAACACTCAACAAAAAAACCCTGTAGGAGCTAGTAGGCCAATTTAGAAGAGTAGTAGGATGTAAGAGCAATATTAAAAAACCAGTGGGATTCCTTGACAGTAACAAAGAGAACTCAGAGACGGAAATCAAGAAAGCAATGCTATTTACAATATCCAACCACAAATTGAGATACTTGCAAGTAAACCTAACTAGAGATATGAAAGACCTATATAAAGAAAACTATAGAACATTTCTGTAAGACACAATAAAAGACCTAAAGAAATGGAAAAATGTGCCCTGTTCATGGATAGGAAGACTCTATATTGTGAAAATGACAGTCCTACTAAAACTGATCTACATATTCAATGCAATCCCAGTATAGATATAAAATTCACTTTTTAAGGAGATCAAAAGGAAAATGATCAAGTTTATATGGAGAGGAAAGAGATCCTGCATAAGCAAAACACTTCTGGGAAACAAATATGAAATAGGAGGCATAGCACTCTCTGACTTCAAAATCTACTACATAGCTGTAGTAACCAAAACAGCATGGTACTGGTACAATGCCAGGCACAAAGACCAATAGAACATTATTGAAAACCCTGAAATAGACCCAGCTATCTATGATCAAGTGAAAATTCGACAAGGAAATAAAACCTATAAAACAGGGAAATGAAAGCCTTTCAACAAATGGTCCTGGCAAAACTGGTCTCTTAACTGTAGAAAATGAAATAGGATCCACATCTCATACCATATACAAAAATCTTTAGAAGGCCTAGTCTATGGTATAAAGGGGCTGCCAAATACATCCAAAAATGTACTATTTGCAGAGAATAAAACTGATAAATGGGACCTTCTAGAGATTAAATCCCTGTGGATGTCAACAACTTCTTCCAATAGGGCTAAAAGAAAATCTACCAAATGGTAATAAATATTTGGCAATACTATGCTGACTAACCCAGTCACTGAATCAATCCACCTCATAGAGGGCCTTCCCCTCCTGCGCTGTCCCTCCACCATCCCAAGCATGATGTCCCTCTCTAAGGACTGGTCTCTCCTTACAACATGTCCAAAGTATGTCAGATGAAGCCTCAGAATCCTTGGCTCCATGGAGCAGCCCGGTTTAACCCTCTCTAGGATGAATCTGTTTGTTTTCTTAGGAGTCCATGGTACCTTCAATACTCTTCTCCAGTACCACAGCTCAAAGGCATCAATTCTACTTCTATCCTCCCTAGTCACTGTCCAACTCTCCGACGCATAACATCATACATCAATATAAAGAAACCAAATATCCTCACAACTGACTCAATAAAGACTGTTGTGGTAGGTGGAGAAAAGACTGACGGAAATAATTTAATTTTATTTGGTCTACAATCAACTTGATGGGAGCATCAAATAAAAAATCAAATGGTATCTTGCAATGGAAAAATCTCATGCTAATGTCCTCTATAAAGTGCTAAAAGATTAAGGATGAACCTGATCCAAATCATGCTGTATTCAACTGTCTCAGATATATTTAAAAATTGAACAGTGAATAAGGAAGATTGCAGAGGAATTTATGTTTTAAAATTGTGGTGTTGGTGAGGAATATTGACTATACCAAGCAGAATGCTCCTTACTAATAGTGTTTTTGTTTTCAGGGGCCATTAAATCAATTAAAACTCTTAGGGACCCTATGAAAAAGACATCTGAACTTTGCCCTAACCTGTGCCATCTTCTTAATCTCAGATATGCTTGTATGTATTGTTAAAGTTACCGTGTCAATCCACCTTGCTGAGGATCTTCTCTTTCACTGACCCTCTCACCTTTCCTAGAATGTTCTTCGCTCAAGATGGGCCCTTCCTGACAATGCACCCAAAGTATCTGGGATGAAAAGTCACCATCCTTACCTCTAAGGAACACTCTGGTTGCATTTCCTTCAGGACAGACTCATCAAGAAATCAAAAGACACGTTACACTGGGAAAATTTGTTGTCAAAGACCCTTTCAAAGTGCTAAAGAACAAGGATGTCAGTTTAAAGGCCAAGGTGTGCCTGATCCAAGTCATGGTCTTTTTAATTATTCTCCTCCCATGTGATTTATTCCCTCTGAAAACTATAGGGTCAGCTAGAGATGGCTCCAAATAGAAAACATACAGCAACAACAATGCATTTGAAATAGAACAATAAATAAGGACAACAGAAGTAGTAGTGGAGTCTTAGAAATAAAGATGACCAAATTTCATCTCACATATTTTAGGCAAATTAATTGGAAGGGCCAATTATTAGAGGACAGCATCATGTTTGGTCAATTAGAGGGTTAGTGAACAAGAGGAAAATCCTTAAGCTGAAGTATTGACACAATGGCAGCAACAATAGGTGAACGCAGAGCAGAGATTGTGAAGACACTAGAAGATTAGGGAATATTTTGTTCTGTCCTCCAAGGGGTCATTACAATAACAACACACTTCCACAGTCTGAAAATGATCAACTATGAAATGAAGATGCATTGATACTGATAGGAATGTAAAATTCAGAAATGGATGGGAATCAGTCCTTATAAATATGATCTTGCTTATAGAAATAATGCTAGATATCACATGACAGAATTTTGTATGAACAGCAACTTGTGAATTGCAGTATCTTTTATAAACAACATAAATGTTGACTATATACATGGACATAATCAGAATATATAAGAATGATATAAATTTTAACTGTTGAAAAAGGAAAAAATAATTATTCGTCAACAAGGCTATCAAACAATGGCTATGAAAAAGACTATCAATTATTCATATGCAAGTTCAAGATTAAGATGAATAAAACTAAAACAAGTTAATAATAGCCAATAAATTTAATGACCATTTCAAAAATGTATTTGATGCGCTAAACAGTAGTGACCAGTTAAGTTGTGGAATGGTATCAAGGACATCATATCAAAAAGAAGCAAAATATTATTAAAAAGACAAGAAAGAAAGAAAAGACTGAAATGGATGTCAGAACAAACTTTGTTGAGCAAATATCTGAGAAGAAGGACTTTATGAAGAAGAATGTGGCATCAAGATTGAAGGAAGACTCATCACCAGCCTGTAATATGTAAATTACATAACTGAAAAGAAAAGAGGAGTAACACACTGATGAAGATGAAATATCACAGCCTTCAGGATGAATTGCACCTCAATAGAAAAGTAGCAAAAATTTTCACAAATTGATCAGTAAATACATCGTGACAAAAGGAGAAAAGATTGATATTGGCATGGTTTTACTGAACCCACAGTCAAAATTCATGAAAGTAGAAGTCAAGAAATGAAAAAATGAATTGCAATTAGTAAATCTGCTCTAAAGGATTTCCTTAATTGTTAAAGATCAAGGATGTCACTTTAAGGACCAAGCTATGAATGGTCCAAGTCGTGGTAATCCTAATTGACTCATATGCACATGAAAAATGGATAATTAAGACTGAAGAAGAATGGATCCTTTGAATTGTGATGCTGCAGGAAAATACTGAATACACAATAAGACTACCAGAAGAAAAAAACTGATCTATCTTAAAAAGGTACAGCCAGAATGCTTCTTAGAAGCAGGATGGCAAGATTTCTTATCATGTACTTTGGACATATTATCAGGAAAAGCAAGTCTCTGAAGATGGACATTTGCTTGGTGAAATAGAAGGTCAGTGAAAAGGAAGAAGACTCTTAAAAAGATGGATTACTACAGAGGTAATGACAAGAGGATCAAGCAGAGCAGAGATTATGAGGATGACACAAAATGAGACTGTTTTGTTCTCTTGTATATAAGGTTGCTATGAGTTGTCCTGGAAAGGGTTAAACCGTGTGGCTCCTTGGAGGCAAGGATTCTGAGGCTCCATCTAACATACTTTGGACATGTTGTGAGGAGAGACCGGTCCTTAGAGAGGGACATCATGCTTGGGAGGGTGGAGGGACAGCGCAGGAGAGGAAGGCCCTCTATGAGGTGGATTGATTCAGTGACTGGGATAATCGGGATGGGAGTGTCAGAGACAGTGTGATTGGCACAGGACAGAGCGGAGTTTAGGGCTGTTGTACATAGTGTCGCTATGAGTTGCAGGCGACTCGACGGCACATAACAACAACAAACCACATGAGTTGTGAACAACCTGATGTCAACCACCCACATAATTTCCCTAGTATTTCATAATAGTACATCCTTCTTAAAGGCACATAGTCAATCAGTAACCTATATTATTGAATGTCTACCAAGAACTGCCAAAGGAGAAAGTCAAGAATCAGTCTTTAGTAGCTCCATCATTCTAAAGTCAGCACTTAACAGAAATGTATTTTTCCCTATCTTTCATGCATTCTATAGTGACAGAAGAAGAATGATTTCCAAAGAGCTGCCATAACTGAATGTCTTCAAAAATGAGTGGCTTGAGAAAATCTGTGTCACAAAATCAAATGATGTGTCTACATTATTCTTCACTAATAAATCAATTGCTTATGTGCCAATTCTGACTTAAGGCAACCGATGTGTGTCAGAGTACAGCTATGCTCCATAAAGTTTTCAGTGGCTGATTTTTCAGAGGTAGATGGGTAAGACTAACTTCTGAGGCTTTTAAGTGGACTCGAGTCTTCAACCTAATCATTAACAGCCAACTTATCAAAACAATCCAGGGGTCTTATGTTGTCTTTGACTTATATAAAATAGTCATCTATCTTTTGTAAAATAGATGGACAGTTATGTGTAGATTTACAGAAATATTTTGGATAATTTTGAAGTGATATTTTATCAGTGATTAATGCTATGTGATGAAATAATAATGGTTTTGCTTTCTTCTTTGGCTTTTTTAAGCTGTAAATTTTATCATTAAGAACAAATGTGTGTTTTTTTCCCCAGAAACAAACAACAATAACAATAAAATGATTTCCATTTTGAAAAATAGAATCAGAAACAAATGGATTACCTGTTCTGCTTGGTGTCCTAATGGTCATACTGCCTTTCTCCAGTGGCCCATCAGCAGGATTTCCTTGGGAATATGGTCTGCCACAGCTAAGAAATATTGGAGTATATTCAAAGAATAAAATATTATCTTTTAAAAAATTATAGACATAAATATCTGTACATTGTTGAAAATAATAATTAATCATTTCTACCTTCAATAGTTTAATTGTACTTTATATAAGAATTCTAAAATGCACTATACTTTGTTTTTAGTGTGAGAGAATGACCAAAGCAAATGGTTAGAAATTTCTTTTAGTTCATGCTCTTACTCTAAAGAAACCAGAACTTCCACCAAAACGCATATATGTATACCTATGTTTACTGCTGTGTTGTTCACAGTAGCAAAGAGATGGAAGCAACCCAAGTGCCCATCAACAAATGAATGGATAGAGAAGCTGTGGTATATTCACATAATATAAACTGTGCAGCACTGAAAAACAAGGAATTTAAAAGAAATACACAGAACGGGTGATCCTGGAAGACATTATGTTAGGTGAAGTATCTCAGTCACAAAAGGACAATTACTCTCCATAATGTAAGACATATTTGAAATGAATCTATTAACAAATATTTTGTTATGCTATTTTAAAAATACTTGGATTGGCTGCTACCAATTTAAAGCAGTGATTTTGGAGATGCTGGTGTGTATTTGACCAAAACTCCCAAATTCACTGCTGTTGGGTTGGTTTGGATTCAGAGAAACCCTCTATCAGATTTCTGAGGCTGTAAATCTTAAGGGGAGACTGCAAATATTAGTGGGAGGAGTCTGTCTCTGCCTAAATTTCTCTTGTAGAGCTATTGGTTGATTCAAACTGCCAGAGATGCATACACTTTTAGGTAGCTGTGCAAATTGTTACAGATATGCCACCAGAGGTATTTGATTAAGAAAAAAAAAATTTAGATTTATTTATTTAAGCTAAGATATTTTAAATCCAGAGTCTTTTTTATAAAAATGAACAGATTTAAAAAGAATGATGGCACATTAATTTCATTTTTTACCCCAAAGTAAAATGAGTACATTTTCAGATTGGCCAACTACTTAAGCTAAAATTATGGACATATTTTAATATTGCTATTGAAATTCTAGACCTCTTATATGTCTTGACATGTCTACTAACTGTCTTTTCTTACGGTATTACTGAACAATTACTTTTGCTATGTAATATATTAAAATCAGAAAACTCTTGTAGGATTTAAAGAGGAATGTAAGATTGATAGCATAAGGTTCTGGGTAAAGAATAAAAATAAAACAATACTAGCCAAGGAGGTAGACAATAGGCAAAAAAGAAAAATGAAGGTATTTAGGACGGACGTTCACACTAAAAAACCCACTGCCATTAAGTTGATGCTGACTCACAGTTGTCTTGCACAAAGAGTTGGTTGGCTAATATATGTTTCTAAGGCTGTGGTTTTTACACAAATATTCTCCTTCACCTTTCCTCTAGAAAACAATTGGTGGGTCCAAACCACCAACCTTTTGGTTACCAGCTATATGCTCTTGCCTTCAGTAACACCAAAGCTCCAAGGGAAATGTTTCTTAACAGCAGTTCAAGGATGTAGAATGTATTTGCTTTCTCAATAGTACTAATTGCTTTACCAAACAAGAAAGGAAACCTACAAAAGGCCTGGCAGAGTCCTAAACTGGTTTTTTTCTCATTTATCTTGTTTAGCGATTTCATAGTTGGATTTTAATTCTGCATTTTGCTTCTGGGTTCTTTTTTTCTTTTCCCTTCCCATCTAATACTACAAGTGGTCTCAAAGGGTTTTGTTTGTTAATCACAGTTTACTCATACTGAAATGAAAGACATAAGCAATAGTTTACTATTTAATATCCTAAATGCCTCATCATTTCCCCCTGAATTGTGCTCGTATGTGAAGTAAAGATAAGCATTTTCCAAATAAAAGAAAAAGTAAGTAAATTTTATTTCAAGCCTTGAATATAAGTGGGAACCATTATACATAAAATAGTTTTAATTATGCAATCTCATAAGTACCATAAGGAAATGAAAAAAAAAAGAAAAAAATGACAAGACTAATCTGAGGTAGAAAGTACCATATTTTTTTGCACAAATAACTCGTTTCTCCTATTTTTGTTGGCCAACTTCTTCCTCCTCCCGAGTGATATTTTCATAAGCTTTGCTCTCTCAATTTTATTTGTTTTTAAAAGCACATTGGAGTTAAAAAAATTAGCATACCAGGTTTTTAAAAATACCTCCTGGGAAGAGGGAACGGGTAGCAAACAAATGTAGAAGACTTGTTGTTTGTGCAAAAATATGGTATATGCAATTATTTGACGGGCTTACATTCTGGGATTAAACTTGGTGGTCTCTAGTAAGTAAAATTTATTGGTTTTAAGATTTTCATTGTAAGATGATATTTAAAAGGAACATTTAAATTAGTAGTTCAAATACACTAGCTCTTAATGCCAGAAAAATAGGTTGTTGCATAGACATTACAGCAGCCAAGAGACTAAGATTCAATGCCAAACCCATCTAGTTCAGCAGGGGAAACCACAATAATTAGTCGTGTGTTTTTGGAGCTCTCTGTGGCTACATGGGTGGCTGTCCTGAAGGCAATAATAAAACCTGGTTTAAATTATAGATTTATAAAGCCCAAACAAATAAAACACACTCTACTGGATTTATAAACACGGCTGAACAAGCAGGCAGTGAAACTTCCTTGTTTTTCACTGCTTCTTCTTCATAAAAATCCCATAAAAAATAGACTATGACAAGAAAAGTTACATGAATGGTAGATATTATCTGAAGTCTTTCTCCTTTCTTTGGGCTACTTATTTTCTACAAGTCTGGAGTCTTCATTGGGAGTCTCCCTAGAAAAGCTAGAAGCAGATGTTCTTGATGCAAATTCTTGTACTGGGTTTCATCTTGGCTCAGGATACATACCACAAAACAGTACTTCATAAGTGTGTTCTGCCAAACACTAGATCCATGGACAATTATTGGGTGTTAGCATAAAGAAATGCAATTTGTGGTGAAATAAATTCAGAAAACACTAGATGCCATTAGAAAAGTTCACAGGTGTTCTCCTAGCAGGACTCTTCAGAACTTTTACAAAATGAATGTTAGTGTAAATCTCTAACAGAGAAATAGAATTATGCCTTGTGAAGTTTTTGGTAGGACAACACACGTTTTGTGGGCAAAGATGATGGAATTAAAATGCCACAGAAATTATTTTACAAAATAGCTGTCATAAAAAGGTCAGTAGAACAATTTTTGGACAGTAGAATAACTTTTATTCTGATCCTTGCCAAACAAATGAAAAACAAGGGAAATTATGTCCCTTTTGAAAACAGTTAGAAGGAGAATGAAATAAAAGTTATTAAATAAATACATTTGATTGGCTTCTAGAGTGCATAAATGCAGAACATGTGAAGCTTAATATGTCTGGAAACAGAGCATATGAAACTTAACCTTAGTTAATTCTTAACTAGACTGATAAAATCTGAACTAATAGTTGGTACCTGAAGATAAGTATATCACTAATTTAATCAAATATTCAACATCATTAATCTCAGTAAATAAATTATAATTTTGTTTATATCATCGCAATTGCATGCTATGCATCAGAGAGCTAGACAGTGACAAGGGATGATAGAAAGAGAATTGATGCCTTTGAGTTGTGGTTCTGGAGAAAAATGTTGAACATACCATGGACTACTAGGAGAACAAACAGGTTCGGCCTGGAGAGGGTAAAACCAGGCTGCTCCTTGGAGGCAAAGGATTCTGAAGCTTCTGGCATACTTTGGGCATGTTGAAAGGAGGGACCAGTCCTTGGAGAGGGACATCATGCTTGGGAAGGTGGAGGGATGGCACAGGAGAGGAAGACCCTCGATGAGATGGATTGATTCAGTGATTGGAGTAATGGGTATAGGTGTGTTGGAGACAGGTTGGCACAGGATAGAGCGGAGTTTAGGCCTCTTGAGCACAAGGTCGCTATGAGTTGCAAGCAACACAACGGCACACAACAACAACAAAAAACTAATGAGCAAACTTAAAAATACTCAACTCTTGTCTCCTTAACAACTATTGTAATGCCCTAAAGGAAAGTGAGCTCAGTTGGCCTTATGGGTAAGGGATTGTGCTGCCAACACAAAAGCTGGCCATTTGACTTAATTGGCTGCACCTATAGAGAAATAAACCTACTGGAGAGCCAGATATAAGTTCCAACTCGATAGCATATACCATGATACATTACTCCAGATGAAGCTATTACTGAAGAATAACCAAAATATATTAACCAGCAAAGGAAATATTTCTTCCTTAGCTACAATGTCAGCAGAATAAATATTTCTTGTGTTAGCTTCAGTGATAGACAACACTGCACAATTCTATTTCATCACACTAGAGGAACTCAGTACTGTATTCAGAAGATAACCAGAATCCTGCTGGAAAGGATATACATCATTTGAATATGTTTAAAATATTAAAATGTAAAGTACCAATAGATTTTGTGGTTTCAATATAAAATGCTTTCAAGAAAGCCTGTATAATTATACACACATACACACACACACACACACACACACACACACAAATATTTTGCTAAATACACACACACATTCTGTCAAAATACAGAATTATATAAAATTTATATAATTTTAAAATTATGTGTCTTATATATTTTCCAAAGTAAGCAGATAAAAATACAACTAACTATTCATCATCCCACCAAAATTTCTATTACTAAGAAGAACAGTTCCTATTAAAGCCTATTCAACAGAAAATATAAGTACTCCATATATTTTCATCATTGTCTTTGGTAAACTTACAGAGAGCTGTGTGGACTGATGGGTTAGTTTGCTCATGTATTAAACTACTATAAACACTAGTTAGTTAACAATATAAAAATTCTTACCTGCTACAAATAACAGGCGGAGTCAGGATCTGAGGGGATAGGTCTGGAGCACTCTGAGTATAATAAGCTAAGGTCCTGTGAGAACTTAGGCCTGGTTTAGCCGTTGTTTCTGCAGATTCAGGAAACTGCACTGTAGAAATTTTGCTGATAGGGCTGCTGGCCGGTGTCCCTTGGATAGGTGAAGAGCAGGGTGAAGAGAGTGGAGAAATCTTAGCTAGGGCATCTGAGAAAGAAAAGAGAGATATTATGTCATTAAACCACTGTCTCTGAAATGCAAAATTGCAACCCTTAAACTTCACCTCAAACTGCAGTTAACAACCACCATGTGCTCATGGCACTGGGGCAGGCTTCCCCAGCCACCATCTGGAAGGCATGGGGTTGGGGTGTCTCCACAACATGGAAAGAGTGATGAATCATCCTGAAAAACTTGAAGGCAATGTTGCCAAATTCAGTTAAAACCTTGGTGTCCTGGAGTAACTTTGTGACAGAAGAATTTCCAGTTTTTGTTTAGTCTTGCCATTCTGACATGATGATAATAATTACAACATTTTCACATATTCTCCTAGGTCATTATGTGTTTGAAGCAGAAACAAGATCTGCTATGACTTTAATTATTCAAGAGCAGAAAATGAAGACACTGGATGCTTAACAACACGTAGATAAGAGAATTTATGTAGGTTAAGCAATTAACCATTCACATTTTCAGTGGAATGGTGCTTTGATTAAAAAAAAAATTCTAAAGAAAACATAAAAGTATGAAAATTCACTTCAGATCAAGACAGTACATTAGAAACTTCAGTTGACACATATCATTTGAAACTATATAGTGAAAATTGATCTTTGAGCCAGTTCTGATGTGTTTTCTGTAGACTGTGAGAATTTTACAGGACAGGTTAGCTTTCAAAGCAGCATTGTTGAGTAAAAAAAATTATATCATCAACGTTGCTTGATCCTAGACTTAAAAAGGTAGCAATATTCTTAAAATTGCTAGGAAAAATAACTTCAGAACAACTATCTACTTATTGTTTTTCATGATCTCATTGTCTTCAGGAAAAATGAAATAAAACCATTAAAAGTCACTTTCTCTGTTTCCCACCACTTGGGGAAAATGTAAAATCATCATCACATAACACATGTGGTTAGGTGGTGCTTAGCTAGAGCAGTTAGCTTCAAATGTCCATCCCCTTAAAATTTTAGTTGTCATCATCAAAGTTTTTCTGATCCATCATTTGGGATATGCTTGGTTATGAGTTTTTATAATTTTTCTTTCTAAATTTCTTTTGTTTTGATCCAGTATAGGCCATAGTGATCCCATTTTCATCCCTTCCTTTTATAGATAATTATGCTATGACATATCATTATTAATTGAAAATATATGGCATGTAGCTTTATTTTCTCCTTAAAATTTATAGTACAATTGTCTAGTCAGAAACCTTTTTTTCCTGTTGTGGTTTAATGTCTTTTTTTAAATTTTCTTTTATTTAAGCTTTTAAATCATACTGTGTTTGCATTCAACCATTCAGACACCTTGTTTTAGGTAATAAATTAAAATTGCTTAAACTATTTACAAGGTCTAATCAAACCCTTATTGCATATTGCCCTTCTCTTCACCCAACTTACCTATTTATTCATTTTTGCTCCCCTCTCTCTCTCTCTTCCTATTCTTATTAGTTCTTCAAGATTGACTCTCTGTGGAAGCCTTTTCTTAGATTTTTTTATTAATGATCTTAGACCATAAGTCTTTTTTGTGCTACTTAGTGCAAAATTTGTTCTAGATTCTTTTATGCTGTGTGGTATTTCACAAACTGATGTATTGGTACTTTTAAGTGATGTATAATATTCTAGTGTGTGAATATATCACAGCTCCTTCAGCAATTTGTCCACTGATGGACACTTCGGTTGCTTCCAACTCTTTATGGTGTCAGAACTTTAAAAAATGGCTTTTCTATCCATTGTATTAGCACCCATTAACGGCATGGTCTTCAACTACCTCAACTATGGACATGAGGTCTTGCAAATCATCAACAGCTATGGCATCAATATAAGAGAGCACTTTTTAGACTATGCAGACTGTGGTGAGAGTATGAAGAGATAGTGAAGGCAGTGTGAAGAGATAGGGAAGGGAGAGCGAAGAGACTGTGATAAGACATAGCGTGACAGAACCTTGGAAATGGAGCCAAAGTAAAAGGTTTTGCTCCTGGATGCCTGAAGAGCTGACTTATGACTGCTATGAGACAAAGATTGCTGGACAATGGAAGAAACCAGAGCCATAATAACCCAGAAACCATACAAAGCATGCTGGGTACTGAGGAAACTTTTTGCTGCTGAACTGAACCTGGATTTTCATTTAATGACTTAAAATTGGTCTGTATTAACTGAAGAACTGCATCTTGATGTTAGTCTGTCTCGGAGGTGCTGTTCACTAAACCTGGACTTTCACTATGTGATATCTTTCGTCTTCCTCATCCCCTACCAATGTCCTTAATAAATCTTAATAAGCCAAGTCTAAGAGCCAATTTGCAATAAACTTTGGACCTAGTGATTCCAGAAATAGGAACAGGAGGATGGGGGGTGGCATGTCTGGCCATGTAGCTATTTGTCTGGTATGATGGATATTACTGATGGGAACAGTGTCCCTATATGAAGCAAGTAGAAGTCAGACTCAGTCTTCCTCATGTTACGGCTACTCCTTTTATACTACTATAAGTAATGTTGCAATAAACATGATGTGAGTATATCAGTTTGTATTGTAGGTCTTATTTGTTTTGATTATATAGCATGATTGCTGGCTCAAAAAGTATTTTCATTCCCACCATTTCCAAAAAATAACAAACTGTTTCCTATCCATACTGGTTGCACCATTTTCCTAGTCAATTTCTCTTTTCTAATATTGATTCTTAAGAAAAGATCCACTTTCTACTTTTGTGCTAAAAATTAAGGTTTGTTATATCCAGGGAGTTTAAATGACCTTCTCAGATGAACAATACTACTTAATGTGAGAATAAGAAATGGGCCCAAATATCCTCAGTAAAAGGTTATTTTGGTACCTTTTAACAGTGACTGCCTACAGAAGAAGGAAAGAATTAATAAAAATATTTATTAGGAAGTATGTGCACTGCTCTTTATAATAAAAACTATGGTATTTCTTTTTTTTTCTATAACTAGAATAAGGATTACCTATTTTTGCCAACAATGTTGGAAAAACTCTCTCATTACATAGTTTCAATCAGCTGTCTTCTAGACCAAATGGAAAGGAGTTTGCTAAATTTTTAGCTCAGAGTTTCTTAGCCAGTGTATCACTGTATGCAACAAATAAGTTTCAGGCCTGTAGCAAATTACTAAAAGTAAATCTCCACAGGACGGAAAGAGGATAGATGAGAAAGGTGTCTTCATTAAGACAAGGTCCACAATGGAGAGAGAAAAAGAAAACAGTGATGTATGCTATTTTAGACAATTCCTAATTTCTTCTTCTCTTTTGAAAATTTTCTTTTTAAAAACAGAAATGTGGTACAAAGTTTGTGCCACCACTGCCCATTTTTTTTCTTCACATGATATATTTTCTGAAGGCAATTTATAAGAAGTTGAGCTTTTAATTGGTAATTTTGTTAGTCGTGTCAAACATGATAATGGTTACCCATGGTGGACAGTATTTGGTGGAGCTCCCTGCTTAAAACAAGCTTGGAAGCAGGAGTGGCATCCACTTCTGTAATAGCTTGCCTCCAGAAACCCTATAAACCTGGAGAAAGGATGAAAGTCACATAAGTGTTCAGGTCTTGTGTTTAAGTCTTTTGTTCATAGAGTCGCTATATGTGGTCTACGACTTGACAGCACTTGACAACAACAACAACAACAACAACAATAATAATCAGCTGATATCCTCAGAGAAATGCCATTTACCCTTAAACATAAATTTAAATATAAACTCAGACATTAGAGTTCTTGGAACTCACAGATTAAGTAAATTTAAACAAATAAGTAGACTTGAAGACTCCACATTTACTGCCTAGACACAATTTATAATAAACCTTGCACCAGAGGATAATCTCAGTACTTCTGTAACACTGTTAATCTGCATATTTTAAACACTTTTAAGCAAGTATGAACCTTGGCAACAGCCATGAGAAGAAGGGATATTTTTATACTGTAGGTGAGAAGATAAAGGTATAAACACAGAAATTAATATTTTTCCAAAGCCAAGCCAGTATTTCTCACTATGCCTTATAATAATTTACTTTAGGTTTATGAAGTGGATTAGTAACGTCAGTGATGGAGCCCAACTTTAGATAGATGTATATTTAAAGTTCTCTTTTAGTCTAACAAATATATAGGTGGGGGAGAATCAACCTTTGCATAAAACAAATTACCCTAATACAAATATATAAACTTAAAATATTCAGGAATAGAAAAATTTAAGATGTAACTGCAAAGAAATGTATGAGTTTTTAAATGTATACATCTATTAAATGTATTTATAAGTTTATATATAATGTATAAAACTCTTAAAGAATGGACTTATAAAGATACTGACAACAAATGACAATTAACTTTAAAAATAAAACATTTAGCTTATGTCAACAAATTTACTATGGAGTTATCAGAACAAAACCACATTGGAAGTTGAGGATGTTCTTTAATTGTGCTTCAGCTACTTAAAATTAGTGATCATTAAGTCAGAGAATGTATTATTTATCATCTCAAAGAACATATTTCACCTACAACCAGGAGAAAAGAAGATAGATGAATGGGACCCTCTAAGAATCAAATCCCTATGCACATCCAAAAACTTCTCCAACAGGATAAAAAGGGAAGCCACCAACTGGGAAAAAGTATTTGGTAATGACTTATCAGATAAGGAACTTATATCTAGAATTTATAAAATACTTGAGCACCACAACAAGATAAAGATAAATAATCCACTTGAAAAATGGGCACAGGATAGGAACAGACACTTCACCGAAGAAGACATTCAGATGGCTAACAAGCACATGAAGAAATGTTCAAAATTCCTAGCTCTAAGAGATATGTAAATTAAAACAACTATGAGATATCATCTCACTCCAGAGAGAATAGCAGAATTTAACAGAACAGCAAGCAACAAATGCTGCTGAGGTGGTAGAGAAACTGGAACCCTTATTCACTGTTGGTCGTAGTGTAAAATAGTGCAACCATAAAACAACTATGAGATATCATCTCACCCCAGTCAAAACAGCAAAATTTTACCGA